TATTTATAATGACCATACTGGAATAATTGTGTTGAGCGGTGAAAAATAAGGTGTTTCTGTGAGTGGGTGAGGCTAATTGAAAACAGAAAAAGAATTTAAATTAGATGTTTTTCAAAGCCTTTCTTAACTTATAATAGGAACAATTAATATTATGTGAGATTTTACTATCTGCCAGACACTGTTCTAAACAGTTTGTGTGTATTATTTAATCCTCGAAAAACTCCATGAGGTTAGTACTATAAAATGGAATATTAATTGCTATGATTATTATTATTCAGTGCTAAATGGCAGGTAATGATTCATTGGCTATTGTAAATAAGACATTTTGTAAGCAAAACCTATCAGAACAATATTTCATTAACTGAAAATTTGTTTTTTCCTTTCCTAACCCTAATCACTTATATATTTGTGCCATATTTGTGCAATAAGATTATTGTTTAAGAAATTATTTATTTTCATTTGGAAATTTGTTCTTTTAGTGCCCTTGAATGATGAGGAATAGTTAGCTTCTATGGGTAGCCTTCCCCAGGAAGCATGTCTGTGTGCAAATGGTTTACTGATTATTGGAGGGGCCGAGAAACCTTGGGTAAGGCTGCTCTCAGAGGGTAAGGCTGCTCTCTTCTGGGTAGACACTGAGGCAGGATACTTATAGGCAGCAGTCCCAGCTGGAAGGACAAGTGTCCGTGTCCTGGAGTGGGGGAGTTTCTGGGTGACGAACCCCATCGTCTAGCACATAAGGCAAGAAACATTGAACTTACGAGGCTATATATCCTTGTTTATTCAAATGCGTATCTGGCAGAGAAACAGACATCTGTCAGAGTTCAAGAAAGAGCAGAATGATGTAAAGAAAAGAGCAGTAACATTTTCTAGGCAAACTGAAAAGAGCGTTTTTAGGCATAAATTCTAAAGGATATAAGAAAGGATAGGAGACAATAACCAAATACCTCTTAGAAAGTAGAAGGAAAGTTGATGCATGCCAAGGGTTTGCTGGTTAGAAGCAGCAGAGAGGAAACCAAGAATCAACCAGATTTGCATCTGAGACTTTCTCAAGACACAGGAATTGACAACATAAGATACTTGGAGGAGGAGACAAGAAAAGAATTGGATTACAAATCTGTTTCCGAAGCAGGTTGCTCTCCATAGCCCATGCCTTCTTCCCCAACCTAGCAATTTCCCCATTCTCACCCCAGAGAAAAGACTTGCAGTATTTGTCTGTAGGAGGGAATCTTTTTTTTTTTTAAGGTTGGAAAAGGTGGTTGGACTGGGTGACACCAGGAGGAGTTAGGCAGGGGGACCAAAATGGGGATTAAGTGAATTCATACACACTGAAGGTTGAGACTCCCACCTCCCCAATCCCAGCACCTTCTCTCATTTAGTTCTCAAAAAATTGGCTGTCCAGCTTTTGCTTTCCTGGACGGTTATTGGACATTTTCTGATTAACCTAAAGGAAAGAATTTGAAAGGTTTCTCTACCTAAATAGTTCAGGTAGGTCATCCTCCCGTGCAACTCATAGCCCATAATCCTTCATAGCTGCCTAGATTCCAATACTTTTTAATGTGAGCAGACAATCAAGAATGTACAGGGTTCCATGTAAAAAATAAGAGAGAAACAAAGAAGAAAAAGTGACTTGGAGAAAACAGAGCCCATGCAGGGGGGAAATAAAACATTACAAATAAAAGTACTGCAAATATCTGAGAGCAATTAAAGAATATGTTGCAACTATGAAACGAGAACAGTCATTTCAAAAACAAAAACAAAAACAACAGTACATAAAAGAGCTTTTGGAAATTAAAATGTGGTAAAAAAAAAAAAAGGAAACAAAAAATTATTACATGCTAAAGCCCACCAAATCCTCCAGAAAGCGTGTACTAAAGAGATTAAATGACATAAAATTGGAGAAATGAGATAAGAAAATTAAAGGACAGGCCTCAGAGGTCCAACAACAAATATGGGACTGATGCCCAAATAAATTTGAAGAATAAGAACTGCTAAACCAAGATTCCACACTCAGCCAAGCAATGAAATATGCAGTAAAATAAACACATTTTTAGGCATACAGCATCTCAGAAACTTACTGCCATGAGCTTTTCCTTATGAAGATGCTAGATGTCATGGTACACAAACATGAGAAAGCAGGCCCAGGATACAAGAGATAGGAAATCCGCAGAAGAGCGGCAGTAAGGATCCCCAAGAGGATGGATCATTTGGGTTTTCAGGCTGGTAGCTATGCACCAGGCGTAAAAGCAACCATTCCAGATGGTAAAAAGCTCCATGTGACATTTCTTCCAGGAAGATAGAACTGATAAAACATCTGACTCAATTGAAACAATTGGCATAGTATTTGGGATTGAATTAGTAAGTACATAGAAAAGTATAAGATAATTATTAACTCTAGGAAAAACAGAGTAGTTTAAGAATGGTAACCTAAAGGTATTACTTGGCTGAGTTAAGAATTGTTTTTTACAGGATTCTAATAAAGCAAACACTGAATATCGAACTGACTACCATGGCGGAATGTGGGGTGGGGTGGGGAGAGGATCATATGATCTGGAGGAATGAGGAGAATGAGTGTTTTACCCTCACATGTCCTAGTGGGAAGTCTATAGCTAATGATACAAAATGAAAAATCAAGAAAAGCACAAAACAGGTTATTTACAAAAATGAAGCTAAACACAGAAACAGCTAAGAGAGGTGCAATTATTTGCATCTAAAAAGGAAGAATTCGGGGTGGGGGAGGCAGTAGAATTTTTTTTCTTTTTTGTAAACTATCTTGTGGAATATGTGCTTGTTAATATGTATGCATGCATAACTCTGAATACAAACTCTTATTAAAAAAGATGGGCAGAGAAAATAGAAAGAGTATTAATTTTGTCAGTGAAAAAAAATACATATATTGGCCTTATCCTTTCTGAAATGACTTTAGTTACATATCAGCAAGCTAGCTTCTCAGCAATCTTGGGAGAGCTTCTTATTTGGATGACATTGTTAAACATATTCTGACTATTAACATTCTGAAATGTTTACCTAAATGGTCTTTAGATTTCTATTCTTATAATATTAACTATAAACTTTCATCTTTGTACAATATAATTTTGGAAAACTCATACTTCAGTAAATGATTAGTCTACCAGTGAGGTATCTTATTTGATAAAAGAAAATATCATACAATAAAATTGTCACAGCTGCAGACTTCATTAATTCAGTTTTTTTTCCATATTCTATCTAGGCGAAGGTGAAGTTTACCTTTGAATGCCTAAGAAGAAATGAATATTGTAAGCATCATTATAAGGCTATCTTGGTCATTTCTTTAAAAGAAACTGAAGATTGCAGTGTATATTATTTAATAGATTTTTAATTAAATAATATATTGAGTTTATTCCTGTAATAAATGCTCATAAAGAATCTGTTTTGTTCAGGTATTCTGCTACATATTGGGCATGAGAAGCTGAAAATAATATAGTTAGTTCTTGCTTTTAAGTTGACAGATGAGTAAAGAAATTTACATGAAAATGGGCAATTGTTATTAAAAGGAAAAAGTAATTGCTCTATTGAAGTTACATGAAATGCACCAGCAGCCCAGGCATGTGAGTATAGGCTGCACACAGGGAATTTCCTGTGAGTTGAACTTGAAGGATAAAGGAGAGAAGTATATGAGTTGTTGGAGAATATTCCAAGAAGGAAAAGCAGCTTGGGCAGTGGTAGAGATGTGGGTCAAAGTATCACATGTCATGAGAAAAGCCAGTAGTTCAAGATGGCTGGAGCAGTGAACAATGAGTCTGGAAAGAGAAGAAAAGATATTTTAGATTTTATCATTTAGGTGGAGGCATGAGGCACTATTAATAACTATTATTATTAACGGTAGCCAAATTTTTAAGTTATATTTTTGTGTGAGGCACCAAGCCAAGCACTTTACATACAAAATCTTATTTAATGCTTACAACTACTCTACCCTTATTTTTCAATTTTTCAAGCTTGAGTATGACATAATAAAATTATGTAGAAACTTCATTCTAATGCTTGTGAGAAAATGTTTCAGTCCAGTGGAAAAAAAAATAAGATACAAAATGGCTTATGCAATTACATAAAAACATTATATGTAACATAGCAAGAAACAAGGATGGAAAGATAACAGCCATTGTTTTATTCTTTTCGCCACTTTGAAAGTTTCCAAAATATTCATTTATCGATTTTAAAATAAAAACAATGTATATTGTTCAGAGGAGGGAAGGAAAAAAAAGAGAGTAAGAGGGAGCGAACAAGGGAGTGACATAGATATTTACTGAAAGGCACTGCTGAAGGATAGATAGACTGGAAGGGCAGAAGACCAAGAACAAAGAGACTCCTCCTGCAGTGATCCAGGTGAAAGATACTAGGCACATTTACTATATTATTTATCTCATTTAAACCACAAATGGTCTCATTATGCAGTCATCAATAGAATCACAAATGGAAGAACAAGAGAAATATTTAGAAAATAAGAGGAAATGGTCACCCATTGGATGTGTAAATGGTTATGCCCATTCGCCATGAGATTTAGGAGAAGTGATTAGCAAGCATGGTTCCTATAAATGTGCTATTTTGATTTTGATTGGCTGATTACTTCACTTAGCATAACAAGTTGATGTTACCTTATACATTGCATTAATCAATCACATTCTTGTTAAAGAAAAAGGATGGTTGCATGTCCTTAGTCACCAAGTTGATCCAGAGCCTGAGGTTCTGATTTTGACTTAATGACCTCTTTTATTCTATACTCACCACAACCCAGAACTTTCATGAAAAAATATAAAAAGAACACAGTGAGGACCTTAAAAGTACTGGTCTGAGGGCATGGTTGACTATTACCTGGACTGCACTGACTTTCCTTTCCTTTACAAAATGTTGACTTGCTTGTAAGATTTTTGTGGATCAGAACGTTAAAGTAACAGCTTCGCTCTACTATGAGCTCCTTCCTCCAGGTCTTCCTTTCCTTTTAACTGTCCACTTTCTTCATCCTGCAGGGCTCTCCGAGACCTTTCTAACCAATGATGAACCAGAATGCTGTGATGTCAGGAGACAGGAGCAATCAAACAACCCATCCAGAGGGACGGTGGAAAAAAGCGGATCCTGTCACAGGACGTCGCTCACAGTTTCATCAGCAACAAGACTGTGCAACAGCAGACTCAAACTGTGTGTTCTCGTACTGATTCTCCTACATACAGTTCTCACAGCCTCGGCCGCACAGAACGCCACGGCGCTGGGCTTTGGAGGCATCAACACGCTGGAGGAAAGCTCGACCAATGAGGAATAACAGCAGAAGGACAAAGCGTCACGAGAGCAGCATTCAGCCCACCATGAAAACGCAACTGCTGTCAGATGTAACAGAGACTGGGTGCTTTTACCCTCCAATCACTTCTTGCAAGGCCTTTAGGGTAACATTTAAAAAGATGGGCCTGAATCCAAACAAGGACACAGACACAGCTTTTTATTGACTAAAAGGCTGTAAAGTGACTTCGATTTCTCACACCATTTTATACACTGTGTTTTAATGTTTGGAGGTTTTATTTGCTTTGGTTTTGATTTGGGTTGATTTGTTTGTTTATTTTTTGCACTTGTTAATACAGGATTTATTTTGGGGGATGGTTTCTCAGAGGTAAACTAAGTCTTTTCACTGTCTTTCTCTCTCTCTATATATATATTTCTAGTCATTGTGTGTGTTCATCAGATAGTTCTGTCTCTATGTCCTGTCAGTTTCTATTAGAGGAATGATTGCTATGACCTCATGGTATAGCAAAAAACAACAATAAAAAAATCATAAAAAAGAAAAAAAGACAAAAAAAAGTAAACAACAAAAAATAAAAATAAAAAATTCCCTAACTCTCCCTCCTAAGGAACGCCTTTTCCTGCCTTTCCTCCCCTTACCCTCTCCTCTCCCCTAAGCAGACAACATCCGCTTGCTTCTGTCTGTATGGCCACAGCGAACGGGCATCCAAGCTCTGGTGGGCCTCTGAGTCGCTGTTGCACAAACCCGCAACAGAGCAGACAAAGGGGTTCTTTTTTAGCTGAACAAACAATTGTTCCCCATAATAGGTGGAATCAGACAGTTAACACATTTTTATGTTGAAAACAAATAAAAACAAAACTACTATGAATTATGTTGCACCAGCTCCCATTCCCTAAGGCCCAGGCCTTCCTCGCTGGTTGGGTGGCTCCAAGTTGCCTCCTACAATCAGGATGTGAAGAGGCAGGAAGTCCTTCCTTGATGGTGGGCTTTCATTGAGATGTCAGTTCTGTTGCAGTAACATACGAGCCCATTTTGGCCCTTGTGATGGGAACAAAGAGATGACACAAATCTGAACTTCTTTGTCCTCCTTTATTGTTGTGAAGGAGATAGTAGAGATGCTCAAACACCTACAGTATACAGAATATACACAGTTTTACTCCAGTATTCCCCATCATACATTTTGATTATTCCAGATATAAAATGTATGCAATTCTGCATTATCGCAAAAGATTTAAAAAAATAGATTAGCCATTTTCAAGTGCAAAAACTTTATCATTCTAACATGCTGTAGATAGTTGAAAAAAAAGAGGAGAAATCTGGTTGCTCTGTTTGTATTTTTTTCTTTTTGTGGGAACATTTCACCCGCTGAGTGTCTATGAATTTGCTTTCTAAAAAAAGGCTTTTATGAGTTTACAGTAGAATCAGTGGAAGGAAGAGTTAATAAGGGCTGTTTTTAAAAAAAAACAAACAAACAAAACAGATAATTAAAAAAAAAAAAAACACTTTACATTCCTTCCTATTCTCTAACTACACTCGGGAAGTGCACTTCAGATATGTTTGCTGTGTAGCTGGGAGATGAAGGAAAACCATGGAAAAGGTCCTCTTAGCGAACAAATTTAGTTATTAACTTTATAGCTATGAAATTCCCCCAGGCATTTGTTTTCGTTCAAACAAACTTTAATCTCTGCATTATACTTAACCCTGCGACATGCGTACAGTATGCATATTTTGTTTTGAATAAAAAATGTTTTGTTCCAGTCTGTTAAGAATATTCAAAAATAATAAAGGTATTGCTTAATAAAATTGCTAGAATTGTTTAGCAGTACATGCACAAATATTTTACTAGATTCTTTGTTTTAATAGTGTTTTGTTGAGACTGAAAATCCTAAACTGGTCTGCGCAAATACAAAAAAAAAAAAAAAATCCACCAAAAACGCAAAATTCTCCAGTTTTTGTTCCTTTAAAAAATTTTTTTTTCATGTAAATGCAAACAAATGCACCGTGAACATACACTTATACACAGAGATATAAAGGAGCTTTAATTTACAGAAATATGGTGCTATTTCTGGGGACACAAGTGGGTGGGGACTGGCGGGGGTGGCACTGAATTATTGTAAGTGATAAACACTTGTAGAAATGAACATTTAAAAGCCCTAACTAGTGGTGGAATGTAGATTTCAGTGGACTTGAGGGGATGAGAAAAGTAAAAGGGCAATGAGATGAGGGGACAGTCGATGACTTATGAAGAAGAACTTACTAGGCAAGCTCTTCTGCAACTGACCTCATAACAACTTTAAGTCATATGGCCAGAAATAACTTTATGAACTTTATCTACCCTGCTGCTCAAAGGCCACTCCACAGTTTGTTTATTCAATGTTCTTTATGCTTCTGTTTGTGCCAGAGCCATTTTCATTCTTTCAGGGAAACGACACATCAATACAGATGCAAGTGCCGCCCATTCTTATGACAAGACAGTGGGCAAGCAAGGAAAAATAGTATTCCTTAACAAATAGGGGTTTATTTTCTCTTAATATCTCTTGGAACTGGTTAAAATCCTTTTCCAATATAAGGGGATTGGAAGTTTCTGCTTGACCTTGTTTAGCTTTACTTTGGGGAGGATAGTAGCCGAAAGAGAAAAAAACAATAACCACCATTACTTTACATGAATGAGAGTAATGTCCAAAAGACCATTTCAAGAGCTGAGAGGAACAATGCAGTATTAATTGTAAATATAAAACTATAACTTAGGTGAGGAAGAGATGGTAGGGAGAGGAGAGGAATGAGTTCTTTCTCTCAGACAAGTCAGCCAGCACTGGAATAGTCTGTAATTCTGGGAGGATTTTTTTCTTGCCATATAAGATTTATTATTTTTATGTGAGAATAGCCTTTGTGCCTAGCATTTATTATCAAAAATATGTAACCACTTACTTATGTTTCCACTGACACAGTGAACTAAAGCAGCTTTTCCTTGGGTAAGTGAACGGATCCAAATAAGACAATGACTCCTTTACAAAGTCAAGGAACACCCACTGTAGATGCAAATCTCATGACTCTCATTGATCATTCGTAGTCGTTTTTTTTTTATTTTTTGCTTGATAACATGCTTGAAGTTATATAGATATTAATTCTGACAAAAAAAAATTAACACTGTGCCCCTTTGTAATCATCTTGTTCCATATTTCCCACAGCAGATAACCATTGCATGCTGGATAATGAATTACTATATTAAAATAATGATTTTTGAAAGCAAGTTAAAAACCAAGAAAAAATATTTTTTTGCAAATGTATGGAACAGGTTTCCCCATGTTTATTATCGTACTTTTTTTTTTTTTTTTTTACAATAGAGACATTCCAGTATGTGGAATATATTGATACTGCAAAACCAAATGTCAAATAACATAAGTGGAATTACAGTTGGCCCTCTGTATCATGAGTTTCACATCACAGATTCATATATCATATATAAACATATTACATGTAGCTTATCAGTAAAATTGTAATGACAAAATTATTCAAGACATAACACACACATAACATTATGATGAATGATTCCAGTATGTGGAATATATTGATACTGCAAAACCAAATGTCAAATAACATAAGTGGAATTACAGTTGGCCCTCTGTATCATGAGTTTCACATCACAGATTCATATATCATATATAAACATATTACATGTAGCTTATCAGTAAAATTGTAATGACAAAATTATTCAAGACATAACACACACATAACATTATGATGAATGATTTCTATTTTTTGCTAAAATTTGAGCAGCATGCTCATTTAAAAACTATACCTTTGATGTGAAAAACAGACTCTCACACGCTCCATTAATAAAGGAATAACAACATTGAAATAAACAGAATCTTGTCCATCTTCCAAGTATTGATGGTATATAGAAAAAAATAAAAATGGCATGAAGACTGTGGATGATGGTGAATAACAAGCCTTTTAGTGAGGAGAAGGAAAAAACTGAGTGGTGCTTAAAGCAGTATCTCCATGACATTTATAAGAACGATAAAACTGCTTCGAATTCTAGAAATTCCCTAAATAATAGTAAAATGTATAGATAAACCTCTTTGCCTTGGAATAAAACTTAAGGCATGAAGCAAAATATGAAGTATGTTCTTTACTCTTAGATACTTCAGGGTTATGTTCACCTGACACAAGGCATTCAGATTAAAGTTAAAATTGATAAATCTCCTGGCTGTTTTATGCAAGGCCACCTAGGTAGGTAGTGCAAAGGTGAAGCTCAAACCACATCTGATTGCAAATTGCAAACACTGGCTCTGGAGCACAGATGGGATCCTTAGGTCTCAAACATACCCTAGGAATAGAATTTATTTTCTCCAAATTCTCAGATACTTATCACTAAGTTTTAAATTAAAAAAAATAAAATAAAATTATAAAAGGAGCTATCTCATGTCTTAGGACACTTTTGCACACATTTAAATATAAAGGTTTCAGTGCTTTGCTGAACTTCTTTCTATTTTGTGTCAATTTAATTTTTTATTCTCTGCTGTATCTATATATGCCATGAAAAAATGGAGAAGCACAGGTAAAGTAATTATTTCTGCCAGTATTATCAACCTGTTAAGAAGACCAGTGGACCACTGCTACAGACTGAAGGCAACTTGAAGGACTTGGAATAGTCATGCTGCCATCTTGGCTCACAAGCTCACCATCTATCTATCTTCATAATGACTCTAGATAAACTATGTGATGAGTTAGTGATATAATCATGGCTATTGCTAAGGCACTTGCCAAAGATTTCAGTATTTAGAAACACCAGAAATCATATTGCTATTTTTCTCTTCTCCTTAATCTAAAGTATATGCAAAAGTTACCAGTAAATGAAATCTAACAGGAGCAAAGTTAGTTTCTAAACCTTTAAATAGTTATTCGGTTTTGATGAAAATCTTGGTGAAATATTTGCTACAGCTCTACACAAAAGTCAAGTTGAGCCAAAGAGTTTTGATTTAATGCAATTTTTTCTAAAATGTGATACACTAAAATAAGTTTTTGAATATGCAAAACATACAGCATGATGAATAAATAAAATATATGTAAATGTTCTCAGATATTTTTATCATAATTAGAGTCTAAAGTTTGGTAGTTTTCTTTTTATTGCAGATTTTCTTTCCCCATAAGACAACATACCTTTTTATTTAATTCATGTGGTTTTTCAGAAGCAGTCTTTTTATAGCTTTCTAGATCTCTTCAAATTTCATGTGGAACTTTGCAGAGTCACACTTACATTCAGTAAAACACTTGAAATTAAAATCTCTTGACTCATCTTTAAGTCCAATGTGTATCAAACAAAAAACTCATGTTATTACAAGTAGATTTAGTTACTTGCATTTATTCTGATCTCTTTCCCATCTTCCTCCTCTTTCTTTTTTTTTTAACTTTTTTAAATTTTTTAAATTTTAATTAGTTTCAAGTATACAGTACATTGGTTAGACATCATCTATATAGTTCATAAAGTGATCTCTCCAATTGCTCCCTCCCTGAACTTCCACGTAGCCAATATATTAATGCTAGCTGCATTCCCTATGCCATGCTCCCCATCCCTGTGACCATCCACCAGCTACTAAGTTGTACTTCTTTAACCCTTCACCCCATTCTCCCAGCCCCCCAAACCTCCCTCCCCTCTGACCATCACCAAATTATCCACTATATTTGTGAGTCTGTTTTTGATTAGT